TTATTCGCATCACCAACATTCAAAATAACCTCTGTAGTGTTTTGTAAATAAGTTTTTTAATGATGAAGAGTTTATCCATTTACTATTATTTTTTAACCATTAAAACTAGTATAATGTATTAGGGAAAAGAAGAGGAGAAAAAAACACACATATAACGAACAAACAACTATTTTATTATAGTATATCATCATTCTAAGACTAACAACACATCTTTCGTCGTTATTATGAATGTTGGTGATGCGAATAATTGTAATAGTTCTCTCTCTCTCTTTCTCTATTTGATATACGATGATGATGATGTTAAGAAGGGCCTATATCATTAATAACTCTCAAAATAAGAGACTATTAACAACCATTATTCCAACAAAACAGAAATCGAATGATATTTTTTAAACAATTTATGAGAAAAAAATATAACAAAAAAAGTATGCGTATTAATTACGCTACAATTTTCAAACTAAAACTTCGCGTTCTCATTCTATTTAAAGAAACTGTTGTCTAATAAAAAGATTTACAAGAAAGAAAAAGAAGAAACAACAAACGAAAACTGAAAATGAAATTGTACTAGGATTTGATCAGATACATGAGTATAATATCAAGAATGTAAATATAATCTAGTCGATCATTTGCACCATATTCTTCATTTTATTTTGCCAGTAGTTAGAATTCAAATTTTCTCACATCATATGAAAAATATGTCTCTTAAATACTAAATATACGATCATATAACTATAAATTGGTCATTTATAGTTTGTATTTTACACAGCTGTAGCCTCATATATAATGTAGATTCCTCCCCCCCCCTCTTGGTCGTCTATTAAATGAATTGAGAGAACAATGAGTGTGTACTTATAAGTTTTTTTTATATATATTTCCTTTTTCCGTCTTTCAATTGCCTTCTTTTTTTTTTGCTTATGTATTAATATCTCCATCGACCAGAGAATGAATCTTCTTTCTTAAATATAATCGGGTATTTTTTTCAAAAGTTAGACATCGTCTTTGAATGTCAAGTATAAAGAAAAAAACCTCGATATGTGTGTACAATAAAAATAATATTCAATTATTTTTTATGCTTGATCAACAACAAAAGTCGATGAAAAACTCAAAAAAAAAAGAAAAAAATAAAAGGAAAATTTGCTGATACTTGTAAAACAAATATAGATGAACATTAACTTCGTTTCGTCTCTTATTTTTCTTCTTTTTTTTTTTTCTTTTTTAGGAAAAGTCGGTTTATCTGTTCTAGATCATGGTCATGATCATCTCTTCGGATCGATCCAAAAAAATATCTAAATTGTTTCTTGAAATTGTAGTCAAAAAAAGGGCGAAATACTTTAATGAAGACTAATGTCTTAAATTTGCTTCATTTCATCGACAATGAATAAGATGAAACGAAAAAAAAAAACAATAAACTCTGCAGATTACTAAATCTCAAATGATTTTTTTAATTTTAATTTTTTTTTTATCAAAATTTTTGTTTTTTTAATATTTGATAAAATGATGAAATGTCATACCATTTTTCAGAAATAGTATCGAAAATTGACTACTAACTAAAAATATCAACTTATCTTTTGTTTATCCGTAATTTATATTACACACTTTTATTTGAACGTGCTTCAATAATAAAACATTCTATAAACTATGGTTACTTTTCCATAATTTTCGAATTATTCAATAAAATGAAGAATATTTTGTTGATAATATAATAAATTGTGTTTTATATTACGTTTCTTAAATTATTGAACTTTTACATTTGTTCTACTATTGCATTTGTTTAAATTAGAAACATGTGTTAGGAAAATATCTTCTTACTCTATTTGCTTACTCATTTATATATGCATCATTGATGAATCGTTATGTTATTTTTTCATCATGATCATCTGTTTGTTGTTTGTCTCAAATATGGCTTTTTTCTTATGTAGAAAATTTTCTCTTCCCGTCTGTTAAAGAATTATTATTAAAGGATGATTACATCATGTGTTACAGAAGAAGAAGAAGAAGAAGAAGAAGAAAAAAAAAAAGAAAGAAGAAGCAAAAAGATATATTTGTTGTTTACAGAGAATCGATGAGATTTACAAATGTAAATTTTTTGTTTTTTTTTTTGTTTTTTTGCATCACTATCACCGCTATCACTGTCAACAACAACAAACATTGATCAACCAACAGAAACTATCTCATCTTATTTTGTTTTAATATTCATATACACAAGAAGTAGAAAAAAAAAAAAAAGAAGAAAATCTGTAATGAATTATCTTTTATAGAGATGAGAAAAAAAACTGCGAAGAAAACGAGCGATAAATGGCACTATCAAGACAAGACAAACAACAACTCGAGTTTTCTTTCATTTTCTTCTCTATTTTTGAAGGATATTAATAATCATATGTTTTTCTTCTTATTCTGTATATCTATTCTTATATAGAATCATTAGAACTTAAATTCACTTTAAAAAACATTAATTATTCACTGGCAAATAATATGATGACTATTATGATTTTAATGAAATATTAATAAGAACAAGATAGAATGTGTGTGAGTGAGTGATTAATATTGATAAAAAAGAAATAGATAACAAAACATGATATATAGATAATAATCATGCTTTTGTCAAGATATGGCAAATCATTCTACTTTGTTAAAAATCTTGTTAAAGTAGTAAACTTAAATAGAAATTAAAAATATCAGACAATTGCGCTATTGACTAGGGAAAAGTGTTGTTATACCAATTTGACACCTACATTTAAGAGATTATCAGTCTTAACGTCTGTTCGTTGGTGTTGTAGTGGGGGAATATGTGTGTGTTATGAGCTAGAAAAAACATCCGATCAAAATAATTCTGATTTTGATTATAAATTTCAATCAGAGATGGGTGTGACGATTCTTTGTCACAACCAGGAAATATAAGTCGTCACTCTGAGTGGCGACTGAGAGTGGGCAATTCTGGCTAGATACAACTCTAACTCCGACTTCGTTTCAACTCCGAGTTGAAATCTATTCATTCTTTTTCCTTCCGGTTTTTTAATTCGATCGTATAACGGTCATGTTTTCTTTTCGAGGCTTCCGAATTGAGACCACTTTTTTGATAAAATGTCTTAATTGTCTTAGTTGACATGAAATAAACATCAGAAGGCGGGAAGCAGAGAGTGGGAGTGAGCGGAAAAAAGTGGTCTCAATTCGAAAAAGCCTTTCTTTTATAATAGTATGCACAAAAAAATCATTATAATAAATCAAAATTACATTTCAACAATGTTAATTTGAAAGCATATTCTTTGTCATAGTATTGCGCTGTGATCGAAACCAAAAACCTGTGAAAAAACATGCTCCACGAAACTGAGGTAGCCGGAGTTGAAGAAATTTTGAATCGGAGTTTCAGAGTTGACAAAATTTGTCATCAACTCCGTACTTTAAAAAGCAAACTGCAACTTCGAAAAAAAAGACCGCTCAACTTCGGAGTTGAGTTGCCCAGCTCTGATTTCAATTCCTTTGAAAATCCCTAATAAATAGTGAAGAGTTTCTCAAACATTGATCAATAGATTTGCCAAATGTAAGCTTAAAAAGAAAAAATTTAAATCGGTAATTAAAACTCATGAAAACAAATAAAATATAAAAAAGGTTATTAAATTTAAACTAAAAAAAGTCTTTATAAGAGATAAAAACGAATGAATTCTATAGGATGATCACCTTAAAAAGTTCACTTTTCAAACATGGGATTCTTTCGAATGGCTAGTGAGCCATTTTTTCTATCTGATCAATTATAACTTTGACCACTATAGATTTTCGATTCATGGTAGCGATAGTGCGAAGAGCATTGATGAGAATATTGTTTTACAGTTCAGAAAATGAAAAAAATTAAGTTTGTTCAGTTTTTGGTACTGTATATAAAGATCTTGCTACGATGCTTAGAAACAATGTATATTCTAATATATTTTTTTGTGCTTTAGGTATCCCTTGGTATTCCTATAAAAACAGACACCCTTTTTTCCTTTGCTTATTACTATCAGCAATCTCAACATTATGGATAATAATCGGACAGCAAAACATGAAACAGAAAATTTTCTTACCGTTCGATTACTTATGCAAGGAAAGGTATGTCTCAGCAGCATGTCTCAAAGTGCAATATGATTTAATTTTTGCCGATTTTGTTTTTTACAGGAAGTCGGAAGTATTATTGGAAAGGTAAATAATGACCATATACTCTCTAATATAATTCATATTAAACATTCACATTTCTTTTTAGCGTGGAGACAACATCAAAGCCATTCGAGAAGAGGTATGTCGAGATGAGTGTCTCGTTATTTTTCTCTATACGAGTTTTTTCTGTGGCATCAGATTCTTCTTTTTACACACAATGTGTTTTTTCACACTTTATACAAATCAGTCTCTGTCTAGTAACTCATTCATAGGCTTTAGTTCACTCACTTGTTTCAGAGTGGTGCACGAATTAATATAAGCGATGGAACAACTCCTGAACGTATTGTGACAATGGTTGGAACAATTGAAACATTAACAAAAGCATTTCGAATGATTTGTCAAAAATTTGAGGATGTAAGGATATGAAATTCATACATATAAAAAATGATAAATTACTAAAATTTCTTTTCTATTATAGGATTTGAAACAGACGTGTGCTACAATTCCACCAATAACGTTGAGACTTGTTGTACCAGCTAGTCAATGTGGATCAATTATTGGAAAAGGAGGAGCTAAAATAAAAGAAATCAGAGAGGTAAATTTCATTATACAAAACATTATAAATTGATTCATTAAAATTTTATAATGAATAATTTCAGTCAACTGGAGCGTCTGTTCAAGTAGCCAGTGAAATGCTTCCTTCATCAACTGAACGAGCTGTCACCATATCGGGCAGATTGGAATCGATTGAAAATTGTTTTCGACAGATATGTCAAATTATGCTTGAGGTATAAATAACACCCACTATTTTATCTCTCAGATCTTATGTTGACATTTATCATTGTTTTTATTTTTTCAATAGTCTCCGCCAAAAGGCGAAACAATTCCATACCGTCCAAAAATGATTTTATCAACTGTACATGCCCCAATTATATTTGCCAATGGACAAGCCTATCAAGTACAAGGACAATTTGCTATACCATTACCACCAAATGAAGTAAACAACATAAAGAAATACATTTTAACTCTTATTTATGTTATCTTATTTAGTTAAACGCATTCGGTCATCTTGGAGCTACAATTGGCCCTGGTGTACCTGTACCAACAGGTATAGTTTAAAAAAGAAAAGAAAACTAGAATTGAATCATTCATAAAATTCTAGACAATTTTCGTTTTAGTAGGTCCATTAATGCCAAATGGTTTACAAACAAATCGTTCAAATATGCAAACTCAACGAGAAATAACAATTGCTAATGATTTAATTGGATGTATTATTGGACGGGGTGGACAAAAAATAAGTGAAATAAGGTAAATATAAACATTAGTCAATAAGTTAGTCGTAGCTATAAATCAAAAAACGTTTTTTAGACAAGCATCTGGAGCTAATATCAAAATAGCCGATTTAGAAGAAGGTAGTCAAGACAGACATGTGACAATATCAGGAACACCTGAACAAATTCAATTGGCAGAATTTTTAATACATTCAAGGTAAAGAAAAAAAGAATTAAAAAATTAGTTGACTAAAATTAGATATTGTATTTTGTGTTTTAGAATTGCATCTGAAATTGGTGGTATATTAATAACTCATTAATACACATATATCTATATATTGTTTTGTTACTATCGAATTTTGTCTTTATTATTCGTAGGCAACTAGTACTTACTATGCAATTTTTAAATTTTTTTTCTCTCTGTCTCCGGTTCATATGCTACGCATCAATTTACGTCTATAGTGAGTGTCTCTCTCTTTCTTTCTCTCTTTCTCTTTGTGTGTGTGCGTGTGTGTTTATTTGATGTTAAGAAGAAAATAATGATTAGCGTATATATAAATTATTATTTTTGTTGGTTCTTTACAAATGTATTTCTATATTTGTCGGGCTATTTATTCTCTCTTAAATAACGAACTGTACAACAGTGATTTCTTTTTAATTATATTTTGAAAGTCGATGATGATGATGAAGTTTTATTTTACTTTCTTTGTATGTGTGTGTGTGCGTGTGTGTGTGTGTGCGTGTGCATGTGTGTGTGCTACGATTGCATTTTTTTCTTTTTTAGTTTTTAAACTCTGTATATTTTTTTTGTTGTTACAATAAAAAGAGAAGAAAATAAGTTTTAATAAATAAATAATATAGATATATCTTAACGAACTCGACATTATCAAATGGAGTTTGACAACAAAACTGAGTTGAAAATGAATACCGCTTTAACTTCAAAATATTTCAACGATCACAGGTTTTTCTCTCTTCCTTGGAATTCTGACTAAAAAGCAGTGGCGGATCCAGTCCGCGAGCGGTACGAGCGGCCGCTCGTACCTTTTAACCAAAAAAAACTGTTTTTTCCCAGCAGATCTCTCTTAGAATAATTTGTTTCTATGACGACCTCACGTATCTCGCACTTTTATCACATACTGCACATACCAAAAAACAATGCTGGATCCGCCACTGCTAAAAAGCTAGCTAAAAATTTGTCCACCGTCATTTTTGACGTAAATATTCTGATATATCAGAAGTTAGTCTGACATAAATTCCTATAAATTCGGACAAGAACTCCAAAATGTTTTAGTCAAGGTAATCGCAAGAAATTTTTTTCAAATTATTTACACAGATTTTTTCCAAAAAGAAAAGTATCTCCGAGACAACAGGACACGATCCTCATTGGTGAAGTCTTTGTATGAGAAAAGATAATTATTATACCTACCATTAGTAGACGAATTCAACAAAAACAACTCTTTTACGCTTGATAAAGAATTCTTTCCATCATCTTTCCTACTTTAAGTGACCGTGTACAGTACTATTTTAGATGGTTACGGTCACCCACATTTCTACTTGAAACTCCCGAGGGAAGTACCCCAAGTTGCAAATCATTTATTCGATGAAAATAAGTGGACTATATGTAATTGATGATGCTGACTCCAACAATGCATGTCGAAGTTGCCCTTAAGCTTTTGTTGAGCTGTTTTCTGAAAACTAGATCATCAGAAAATCAGGGACCAAATCCAGAAAACTTTTCTAAATCAGGCATTTTGTAGAGAACACAAAACTGTCTATGTTCCATACGCTTTAGGCTTTCAAAACAAAAATCAACAGCGTAAGAAACCATTATTTCTGCGAAAATATTCGTTTCTCAACTGAGATACAACACGTGCGTTTGACACGTGCGTTGAAATACGCAGTTGTTTAAGAGTGCAGTGTAAGGTGCGGGTAATTCAAAGTTTCCCTAAGTTTCATTTTTCTTTCAAAGTCATATATTCTGATTCGCCGTTAGCTGCTGATCACAAATAGGCATGCAACAATCCGGTCACCAAACCGTTCGTAACCGAACATGTTCGTTCACCGAACGGTTCGCAACCGAACATGTTCGCTGCCGATCAGCGAGCCCTAGCTTGGGATGGTTGCATGCCTGATCTGGACTAAAGGCAAATTGAATGAAATTGAAGCTTT